AAAAATTTTCTTGTGTGCACTTAGTTCAATACTAAACAAGTTTATATTGGCAACTTTAATATCTCTGGGTTTGATAGGGTAAAATAACTACCATCTCTTCACTGCCTGAGTTCTAGATTACAAAAGAAGTCACCAGTGAGTAAATATCACCTCTACATGATAATTATTGATACAGAGGAATATGGCTTAAATGTATGGCAAAAACTAGATGCATTAACCTTAATTCTGAAATTAAACAAATTCCCTAGCTATAGCAAGAACTGACCAGAGGCTCTTCATACCATCATAGAAATTCTTGGAGAGAAAGAGCCTATCTTATGTTTTTTGGCAGGATCTATACCTCTTGCATACAGCCTGGGAGGAAGGAAGGAAGGAAGGAGGAGCTCAGTATGCTAGCTCCTTATCCCAAAGTCACCTAACAAATAAGGCACTTTCTAACATGGCAGAGATGAGTGAACTGTGGAGATACAGGCTGAGAGTGTTGTAAATGGAGTTTCCTCTTCCTAAAAGGAAAAACTAGGATGGAGAAAGAGGTAGCACCTCCACATCCCAATCACATCTTTCTTTGGTTGAAACTACAACATACAGGTTGTATAGATCCCAGGAGAATGGAAAATTCAATGTTTTCACTGATCACCATTGAGGAATATTCTTAAGTTTCTCATTTGAGAAGTTAAAGGCTATATCAAGATCATTTCATCACTATTCTTGCATGTTAAAATGGAAAAACTAAACACACAATATCTTCCAAAGGCCAAATATTAGATAATTACAGAAATATACCTTATGTTTCTAATAGCTACTTAGAGTATTTTTCCAGAGACACTGATAATGTTCAATATCAGATACTCAGATATAAGTATAGCATTCACTTTACTTCCATAACATTATAGCTTTAATGTTTAAGTTATTATGAACTCTGTTGTTGAACTTTGTAAGTAGCACTAGATGATAAAATCAAGCACTTCCAAAATCAATTAGATATGGGAAAATTCTGAAATTACGTTTTATTGCTTCATCCCATTAACATCAACCACTACAAAGACAACACGAAGAAGTTGGTTCGCCACATGTTCAATACTTTTAAGAAAATTACAAACTAGATTCGAATTAGGAATTTCTGAGCCTAGAATCTCTCCTTACTTGTCTACAGCATTTACAACAAATAAATATCTATTTTAAAAAGAGAAGTGAGACGAGGGGGAAATACATCAAATTCCTTTTATACTTTAATCATAAAAAGGATACATCAGACCAGAAGACTTATTAGTTCACTCTTAAAGACTTATTAAATATTTTTCTTTGGAGTAATTTACTAATTAAAACGAGTGATTTAAAATCTCAGAGAAGTTTCAGAACTTCAAACACTCTGCCAATTAAAATAGAAAAAAATAAGTTAGACATGTGATTTTAAAAATATGATGTATGAAACAACTTGGATATTGTCATCCAAAAATGATACGTTGTTCATTTATAATATAAGGGTTAATAAAAATCTGTATTAAATTTGTGAATTATTTTATCCAATTTTGCCATCTATCAATTTTAAAAGTTAAATCTGGACAAAGGTTCCTATTTCCTACATATCAGTACTGATAATGAAATCAGGATTATATAGCTCTCTCTAATGAGTAAATAATCATTTTCTTCTTATTAGTTTAGGTAAATAACATATTGCTTCTTATCAACCAATAAACTTTGTTGACCTAATGTACTTTTTTATTTAAATTCATGTTATTAAGACAAATTCATTATTATATTCAAGCTTAATGCAAACCAATAGTATTTGCTTTTACATTTATTATATATTTTATACTTAATTCAAATATTAAAAGACACCATTTTTAGGGTGGTATATGAATCAGGAGAGAGGAAATAGACTAATATACTATTGCTTTGATATTGTTGAATTAGTCACTTGAAATGAGTGCTCATGAAAAGATCTACAAACTTGTAAGCAAATTACACTTTTTGAAAGGCATGTTAAATATGTATATATATATTTACATATAATAGAGAATGTCCTACATTAAATAATATTGTGGATTGATACACTACATGAATATAAAGGCTTTTACCAAATATATGTTTGGATTTATATATATATATATATATATATGTTTACATATGTAAAAACGTTTATTAGGAAGTATTTGATCATTTGAAAACACATTTCTCAAGTATAACAGTAAAATTATAGTTTAATGGCTATACAAAATAAAGTAACCTTTGTCAGAAAGCACTATTTAAGCCAAAATTTCATATACTTTGAGAATAAATTCATCAAATGCTGGCTCGAACACCTCATCATTTAGAACTCTACTATCAGGGTCTTTCAAATATATTCAAACAAATGCAATTCCCTAAGAAAAGATATTCTACTTAAACTTTACATGTGTCCTGTACATATATATTTACGAGAAGGGAGGTTATCTGATTCCATTATCTCTGCAGCAGCACATTTTCACTATCTGTCAGGAAATTAGATCTAATTTCTACTTGATCCTTTAAAGTTATTTTCGACTAGTCGAAAAAATATCTTACCAGAAATACCATTTTATATACATTTCAATAAGAGAAGAATAAGCCAAATATATATTAGAAATGGTATTGAAATGAAAAAATATTAACTTCTAAAAATCCCATATTGAAAGTTATTTGGGGAACAAAAGTTTTAGCATAGCCATCATATTTTAAAATGTGTACCAAATAAAAATGTTACTTTTGGATTTTCATGTTACTTTTTGTCTCGTGATGACCTCTCCTGGTTGAGTTGCTCATTATCTCAGATTTGTGTAGTTATCATTTTTCCTCCTTCGCATGTTTTTAGTATTCAGAATATAACTATCATTCTTCCTCAGAGATGTATATAATATAAAATTTTTCATTAAGTGGAAAAATATAAATTTAAAACACTGAATGAATGAAGCTCTTTCTAATCAGTAAAGTCTACATCATTGTTATTATTTATTTCCAGGATGTGGGGCAACTTTGGGTTTTGTTAACACCATTTAAATTCAAATGAAATAAAAAGTCACCTTAATTAAGCAATTACGCATTTTTAAACAATAAAGAATAAGAGCTAAATAAATAAATCTTAATGATCAAACATAACTATTAACTTGACGATCTTAAAAGTAATACTCTGCTCTTCCCTATCTCCAATTTCTAAGTTGGAAAAACTAAGAATATATTTCTGAAATAACAGATTTTCCATTCTTAAAATATATTAACCCAATAGCTTCATGTGTGCCATTCTAGACACATGACAAATGTTTCAGATCGGTCCGTTATAATTAAAGTATACAGAAAGATAAAATACAGAACCCAGGAAAAACCCTGGAGATGAGCTCATCCAATCAGTGAATATAATAAACTCAAATTATAATGAGTTTATTTTTTGAGAAAGTGGCAGTTAATTCTACATCACCAGACCTTGAAATAGAAACTGAAATCTCATCAAAATAGTTTCATCAGAATATAATTACATATTTATGGAAATATTAATACTGAGCATTATATCTTCATAATTTCTATTCGAATATTTAAAATTGACATAAAATTAATAATATATCACTTTTTGAGGTTTAATCTGTTTTGTGGAAAAAAAACTATAAAATGTTTTTAATGTTCATTGCAAAGTTAGATTGCCTTTAGTGGCTTCCTTAACTTTAAGTGCAAGAAAAGAGAAGAAATTACTGTATTTGGGAAAATATCTCAAAATTAATACTGGTTCATCATATGATATTATGCAGTAGATTCGTTAGCACAACTTATAAAGTCCTTTTTCAATGTTTATTCTTATTAATGTTTACAGACTGGGTTAAGAACATTAACATATAGACAAGATGCTTCAATGCATCCCAGGGTCTCATAAACAGAGATAGGACTCTTCACATAGGCTACATTCTGGAAAACACTAAACTTTTTTTCCTAAATGGAAAACACTTATTAAACTCTAAAATCTCCATGGTTATTCTTTAACAACTTAGTCACTCTCAGAAACAAGTATGTGTAACACTATCCTAAGAGTCCGATAGGCAATTTCTGTAGTGTTTAACTCTTTCTGAACCAAAGAGCCATCATGCATTTCTCCCCTGGAGGCACAGTATGCACTTCTAAAGCAATGCAGAAGACGGGCTGGAATCTTCCATGTCTTTCTACTCTTTATAACCTCATGAAAACATCAGCAATCTTCCAAAAAAAAAAAAAAAAGGCTGGCTAAAACACACAGAGATAAACATATATGAACAGCATCGTTTTCCTCTAGCATTCTTAAGAAATCTGTTCATTACTCCATCACTGGGTTACACTGGCTGCCCCAAGTCCTAGAACGCATTACATCCAACTGCCAGAGTCAAAGCCATTTCGGTTACAAGACTGGGTCCGCTGTCTCCATTTTAATAAGCAAGTACTGAAGGGTCATGCCTTGCTGGGGGTGGGGGTTAAAGACGAGTCCATAGATGCCCAAAGTTGTCAACATATGTTCCTCTTTCTTCCCCAAATCCGTGATCGTTTAAGTTGAAACCACAAATTAAAACAAGAAACTTATTTTTGTCATAGCCTTCACTTTTCATTCACAGACCTAAGCAAAATGCCATGAACTCCCTCTACAAACCACACACACACACACACACACACACACACACACACACTCACACACACACACACACACGAAGTCGAAGAAAAACTCCTAAGAAGCTGTCCTCTACACGAAGCACTATAACCAAGCAGTTGCCAACCCATCTCCACGACCAGGAATAACTTTCCAGAAACATCACCAGCGTCGAACCCTCTCCCCCGCCCCAGCCCGGGCCCCCCAAGAGCGCGGGGTTTGGAGTTTGTCTGCTGCAGTGGCAGCAAGTGCGTGACAGCGGAGACACACACACATCGGGGGCGGGGTGGGGGCGAGCACTGCGAATGCACCTCCGACTGGGGACCCCGGGGTGGGACATCAATGCGGCAGGGACGCGGGGCGAGCGCGCGGCAGGGCTACTTACGGGACGCCGAGGGGGCCGTCCAGGCTCTGCAGAGGACGCTGCTGGCCAGCCAGAGCCACAGCG